CTTTCTTTCTTTTTCTTTCTTTCTCTCTCTCTCTCTTTCTCTCTCTCTCTCTTTCTCTCTCTCTCTCTTCCTTCCTTCTTTCTTTTCTTTTCTTTTTTTCTTCCTTTTCTTTTCTCTCTTTCTTTCTTCTTTTTGAGACAGGATCTCATTCTGTCACCCAGGCTGAAGCGCAGTGATCAATTCAACCCTATTGTCTTCTCACCAAGATCCAAGAAGGGCTTTTGGTAAGTAAAATGCAATTTTTTCCTAAGCTTAGAGAAAATCTCTACAGTCTCAGGGATCTTTCTTGTCAAAGGAAGAAAAGGTTAAGAACATTGCTTAATTCTAACATCTTGAGTGTGGGAAGAAGGGAGCTGGAAGGAAGGGGGAAGCTATCCTTACATTTCACCTTGGCCTTGGTTTTTCTCTCCAGGTTCCCAGACTGGAATTCACATCCGCTGCTGGGAGGGGTCTCTTCTGTTCTTGGTGATTCTGCCTAGAGTCCGGGCCTCTGAACCCAGCAGCGACTGGGGTCTCTTTGTGGACAGACTGATCTCTCCTTCTGCCAGGACAGTTGTCAGACTCCGTCTGTCTCTTGGGGCACCCCCCTTCTCAATACTCCTGGCTCCCATGGAACAAAACAATTTTGCAGAATGCCAACAATAAGTAGATGATGTTGTCCCATGACTACAGCGGAACAAGACAAAAGTAAGGCCACTTCTTAATGAGGACTGAACACGAAGCGAAGAAAAGATGCTGTACCACCATAAAAGTAACCAACACCCCATCTCCTGGGTAACATGAGCCACTGTTGTTTCTTCAGCAGTGACAGTGCTAGCTACACTTTGTTCCTTCTGATTCCTAGATGATCATAATGAAGGCACCGAAGTGTTTCTGTTTCCTGACACCACCCAATTGAGAACAAATCTCTATTTCCTTAAACCCTTCCCCAAATCACCTGACAAAAAGCTCAAACCCTATAATAAGTATCCTAATTCCCTTTTAGAAGATATCCTGGGGCTGGGTGCAATGGCTCACATCTATAATCTCAGTGCTTTGGGAGCACAAAGCTGGAGGATTGCTTGAAGCCAGGAGTTCAAAATCAGCCTGGGCAACACAGTGAGAGCCCATCTCTAGAAAAAAATTAAAAAATTAGCCGGGCATGGTGGTGCAGCCTTACTCGGGAGGCTGAGGCAGGAGGTTCACTTGAGCCCAGGAAGTTGAGGTTGCAGTGAGCTATATGAATGTACCAGCTATATGAATAATCTGCACAGCAAGATCATGTCACTTTAAAAAAAAAAAAAAAAGTAGAAGAAACTGGGCGCAGTGGTTCATGCCTGTAATCCCAGCACTTTGGGAGGCTGAGGTGGGCGAATCACGAGGTCAAGAGTTTGAGACCAGCCTGGCCAACATGATGAAACCCTGTCTCTACTAAAAATACAAAAAAATTAGCTGGGCGTGGTGGCAGACACCTGTAATCTCAGCTACTCGAGAGGCTGAGGCAGGAGAATCACTTGAACCCAGGAGGCGGCAGCTGCAGTGAGCCAAGATCATGCCACTGCACTCCAGGCCCGGGTAACAGTGCAAGACTCCATCTCAAAAAAAAAAAAAAAAAAAAAAAAAAGATACTCTGCAGTTCCTGGGATGAGTTCTCCCTCGCTGTAGTTGGTAATACATTTGCCTTGGTTTCACTGTAGGTATGGTTCTGCTCACTAGACTCTAACATATGTCATTATGACCAGAAGGGTCAGCATTCTCCAGGAGTTTTTACCAAATCATCTGTTCAGGACAAACTAACATCCACTGTTACCTCTATGCTACCACCCTGGTCTGGGCCACCATTGACTCTCAGTTGGATTATTGCAATTTTCTTCTAACGGATTTTCCGACTTCTCCCTTTGCGTTCAATCCCCAGGTTCTTCTCAGCACAGGACTGATAATGATCCTCTAAAAAAAAAAAGCAATGGAGATCATGTTACTCTTCTACTCCAATACTCCAATGGCTTTCACGTTGTTTAGCGTAGAAGCCAAAAGCCTTACCATGGGCCCTAAGGTCGCCCATGACCTGAACCTCTGCTTGTCATCTCCCCTCCCTCACTCTGCTCCAGCCTCACTGGCCTCCTTGCTGCTGCTTGTTCCCACCAGGCATGCTCCCGCCTCGGGACCCGTGTGCTTGCTGTTTCCCTGACTGCTATGTTCTTGATGCAGACATCCGCGTAGGCTGTTGCTGCATCCTTCTCAAGTCTTTGCTCAAATGTTACCTTCTGAACAAGATCCTTCCTGACTGCTTTGTTTAAAATCACAATCCCCATCCTGGTACTTTTAATCCTCCTTATTCTACCTTATTATTTTCTGTAGATTTGTTGCCTACAATACACTACATGATTTACTTATTTTGTTCATTATCTGGCTTCAGTAAGAATGGGGGCAGGGGCTGGGCATAGTGGGTCACACCTGTAATCCCACAACCTTGGGAGGCCGAGGCGGGTGGATCACTTGAGGTCAGGAGTTCGAGACCACCGTGGCCAACATGGTGAAACACTGTTTCTACTAAAAATACGAAAATTAGCCAGGCATGGTTGCTTATACCTGTAATCCCAGCTACTTGGGAGGCTGGGGCACGAGAATCACTTGAACCTGGGAGGCAGTGGTTGTGATGAGCCGAGATAACACCACTGCACTCCAGCCTGGGTGACAGAGCAAAATTTCATCTAAAAAAACTCACACCTGTAATCCCAGCACTTTGGGAGGCTGAGGCAGGCGGATCACAAGGTCAGGAGTTCGAGACCAGCCTGACCAACATGGTGAAACCCCATCTCTACTGAAAAAAACAAAAATTAGCTGGATGTGGTGGTGGGCGCCTGTAATCCCAGCTACTCAGGAGGCTGAGGCAGGAGAATCGCTTGAAACCGGGAGGCAGAGCTTGCAGTGAGCCAAGATTGTGCCACTGCACTCCAGCCTGGGTGACAGAGTGAGACTCCATCTCAAAAACAAAGAATGAGGACAAGCTGCTTCTCTGTGATGTTCAGTGATACAGATCAAATCCTTAGAGCAAGTTGCCTAACCACTTTATGCTTCAGTTTTCTCATCTGCAAAATGGGGACAAAAATAGTACCGACGTCATAAGGATAAGATTAAACAATTTAATACATATATGAAGTGTTCAGAACAGTTCCTGGACCATATTAAAGAGCTATGTAAATGTTTGTCACTATTAATAGAACCATCCACATCTTCATCACTCTTACTACCATCATTAGCTCTGGTAGCAAAGCAGCGTAGGCCAAGACGTAGAGGTAGAAGTATGTGACATAATGTGATGGGGAACTGGAGGGTAGCACTGATGATACCCATGAGGAGTAGGGACAGGCAGGGACTGTATTACAACCTGAAATCATGTATGTTGGGTTTTTCGACTGTTTATTATCTATTTCTCCCTATTAAAATGCAAACTCCAAGAAGAACTCCATGAGGAACTGGTGCAGTAAATCACTCTATGCCAGACATACAGAATAGTCACTGATAACATAGTCAGGGCTCAGTAAGTTTCTTTTCTTTTTTTTGAGATGGAATCTTGCTCTGTCATCCAGGCTGGAGTGTAGTAGTGCTATCTTGGCTCACTTCAACCTCCACCTCCCGGATTCAAGCAATTCTCCTGCCTCAGTCTCCCGAGTAGCTGGGATTACAGGTGCATGACACCACGTCTGGCTACTTTTTGTATTTTTAGTAGAGACGCAGTCTTGAACTCCTGAACTCAGGTAATCCGCCTGCCACAGCCTCCCAAAGTGCTGGGATTACAGGCGTGAGCCACCGCACCTGTCCAATAAGTATTAATTAAATGAATAATGGGTTAAAGATTTTGAACTTTGTCCTGAAAATGATGATGAGTCAATGATGCAGGGTGGAATAATGGATGAGGAGCTAGGAAGCAAGTCATCAGTTTCTTGCTGTAAATGATGACAAGGACTCGACTGGTCATCCCTTTGCAGATGAAAGCAAGAGACTTGGTGTTGGGATGAGGCTGAGGGGTGGCCTCCAGGTGGGGGTGCCATTTGTGGAGATGGGATAAATGGGAGGAGGGGCAGATTTAGGAAAAGATGAGTGTTTCCATTTGACATATATTCGAGATTTGTAGGTCTAAAGCTCAGCAGAGAGGCTGGGGTTAGAGAAGCGAGGCCTGGGAGTCCCTGGTGTATAAGGGGTGGTAGACGCCCCAGGTCTGGATGGCGACCCAGCCGGCCGTCAAGTGACCACCCACTACTCGCTGTTCACAAGTCTCAGGGCTTTGTCTCCCCAGCAAGGCTGGGTATTCTTTGGGGATGGAAATACTTTCCACTGCAGCAGGAAGTACACAGTACACAGCTCAGTGCTAGGAAGATAGTCAAGAACAGAACTTGTAGAGTAGAAAGGAACCTTCAAAACCAAGTTACAGGAGAGAACTGAGGCCCGACATGGTTAAATCACATGCCTGAGGTCACTCAGCTAAGCAGCCACAGAGCTGGCTGTAGGATCGGGTCTCCAGACTGCCAGTCCAGTGCCCTTCTGAGGAGGCCACACTACCTCAGAGTTGTGAGTTGAGTGAGCTGAGGCAGGTGACAGGGCTCGGGCTTTCGGCTTACTTGGCTTCTGTGAGCCTGAGTTTCATAATCAACAAGATTGTCAGGGGTTAACTGGGATCATGCTGCATGTAAAGCATTGTGTCTGGCACACAATAGGTGCTCAGTATTGTTTACTTTCCATTCCTTTGTTCCAAGAAGGCCAGAATTTGCAATGACAAAGAAAGGATGAAAGAGTGATGGAGGGAGTTGGCTGCTGCCACCTGAAAGACTGCAAGACTGAGAGGTGAGTGACATGACCCAGGGCATCACATTCTTCATCAGCAGACAGAAAGTGGCCATTGCTTTCCTCCAGAAGGTATGCAAGCAGAAGCTTGGCTCCTGGTGCCAGAGTGAGCCTGTGGCTGCTTTCCCTCCACTACTGCATTCCTCACTCCTTTCTTGGCTCCGCCCTGCTTGCTCAGTGACGCAGAAGGAGGAAACTGCTCCGGTTGCAAACAGTCTTCCAAGCTTAGTGGCTGCCAAAGGAATAACAGACGTCTGAGTTGAGCAGGTAAGGCGGGCAGAAGGAGGAAAGTTAGAAAAGCTCGAGAGGTCGATCTTGAAGAATTCTTGGGCTTCGGAGACTGGAGAGGCCAGGTGCTGGAGAACTTGGGAAGTGGGAGGGGAGCTCCCAGCCCTTGGCTGCCCGTGCCCTCCAGTGCCCTTCCAGGGTTCTGTCACAGTCCACACATTATTTATCCATGTCCTCGGTTTCTCAGGCGTCTCTGGTCGCACAGAGAAAGTGAAACTGAAAGCAGGATTGTCTGTTGCAATGCTTCCGCGGGCTGGTCTCTTCTCAACTCTGATGTGCCACTCAGGGCTTCCTGATATTTCCTCTCCTTCTCGGTTCCTTTGTTTATACCAGCCCACCTCACATCTGATTGTAATGGGGACTGTCTACACAAACACTTTGGTTCAAAGATTTCATTGCCTGGTGATCGTGTTTGTGTTGCACAATTAATTAAACCTCTAAGAGGCTAATCGATTAACCTTTGAGGCTTTGAAACCGTCAGAGTGGTGAGATTGCTGAAAAAGGGTTGCTTCGTGAAATCTATAGCAGATACAGTTATTTAAATATTCAGGCAACAGTTTCGGGTTGATGATTGAACTGGATCTGTAATTCTCAGATCTGATTGACAGTTGGATGAAATTGATAGCTGCCAGTTGCCTATTCGTATAGTAGCTATATGCAGAGGTGTAGAAAGAATAGAATTCGTTAAGCAATTTTTTTCTTCATAAAGAGATATAATTAGCTCTAACATTCATTGAGAGGCTAATATTTTGTACTTTACACACATGACTGTACTTTACACACAAGACTATTTGTTTTTGTCTCCATTTCAGGAAGCAGAAAATTGAGATTCAACAATCCAAGGTTACAGGAAGTAATAGTAAAAAATTACACAGCCACAAGCTCAAACTTAGATCTCCCTAAGGTCAGAGTACAAGCTCTTTTCACTACTGCAGATACTCCTTAACTTATGATGGGGTTACATACAGATAAACTCATCCTAAATTGAAAAGATTTTAAGTCAAAAATGCATTTAATACACCTAATCTACTGAACGTCATAGCTTATCCTAGTTTACCTTAAATGTGCTCAGAACACTTACATTAGGCTACAGTTGGGCAAAATCATCTAGCTCAAAGCTTATTTTATAATAAAGTGTTAAATGTCTCATGTATTTATCGAATGCTATGCTGAAAGTAAAAAACAGAATGGTTGTATGTGTACTTGAAGTGTGGTTTCTACTGAATGTTTATGGTTTTTCCACCATTGCAAAGTCAAAAAAATCATAAGTTGAACTATCATAAGTCAGATATTGTCTGTACTTTAAACGGGGTCACACGGTTGTACAAAGAGGACATGCACAGAGTCAGCAAACACAGTGATCAACCTTCATGGTGACATGAGAAATGCAAAGGAAAAAAAAGCCAAGAAATATATTTTTCCTATTGAATGAGGGTTCTTCTTTTTTTATTGATAAATGATTGATGTGCATATTTTCAGGGTCTTCTTTTTTTTTTTTTTTTTAAGAAGCCACCTATCTTTGGTAAGAATATATTTATATGACATTGAAAGCAATTCGTTAATACAGGTTAAAAATCCTGAATGCAATCATATCTTTTGAATATTCATTCAATTCTTTGAAGTCTATCATATGAAATCTATCATAAGATCTATCATAAGAAAATAAACTAAAATAAGCTGAATTCGCTGCAACATCATTTAGAATTTTTAAATTTTAAATTTTAAAAAACCCTTTAAAACTTATTTTCGAAAACCACTCAGTAATAGAGAAATGAAACAACTGTATGATTTCATATTACACAGCCATGAAAAATGTTTTACAAGACTTTGCAAGGCTGGGCGCGGTGGCTCAAGCCTGTAATCCCAGCACTTTGGGAGGCCGAGACGAGCGGATCACGAGGTCAGGAGATCGAGACCATCCTGGCTAACACAGTGAAACCCCGTCTCTACTAAAAAATACAAAAAACTAGCTGGGCGAGGTGGCGGGCGCCTGTAGTCCCAGCTACTGGGGAGGCTGAGGCAGGAGAATGGCGTAAACCCGGGAGGCGGAGCTTGCAGTGAGCTGAGATCCGGCCACTGCACTCCAGCCCAGGCCACAGAGTGAGACTCCGTCTCAAAAAAAAAAAAAAAAAGACTTTGCAGTAACACAGGAAATGACTTATGGTATGGCATTAAATGAAAGGAAGTAGGATACAAAGTTACTAACAGGGTATAATTCCAAATGTCTTAATAAATATATAGAAATATGCTAAAATATTATCATTGGCTATTTCTGGGCATTGGGACTAGAGAAATAATTTTCTTATTTTGAATTTACATATATTTATAATATTCTGTAATTTAAAAGTTTTATAAGAAATAAATATATATATATTTAGAAAAATGCTAATATAATTAATTTCTCTAATCCAAGTGTTTTCTCCCTATTGTAAAATGACAAAGCACCTCTCTTTGTCGCCAGGTGGAATGTCAGAAGACTGAGAACATTGTTCCTTCCTTACACTGCTGCTCTGTTGCCAGAGAATCCCAATTTACACTCAAAGCTTCTTTGATTAAGTGCAAGGAGGTAAGTTTGCATTTTCTCAAGGAAAAGGCAAAAGTGGTAGCAGGTGGCATTTACCGTCATGGAGACCAGGGATCATAACAACCCCCAGGAGGGACCCACGTCCTCCAGCGGTAGAAGGGCTACAGTGGAAGACAATCACCTGCTGATTAAAGCTGTTCAGACCGAAGATGTTGACCTGGTCCAGCAATTGCTGGAAGGTGGGGCCAATGTTAATTTTCAGGAAAAGGAAGGGGGTTGGACACCTCTGCATAACGCAGTACAAATGGACAGGGAGGACATTGTGGAACTTCTGCTTCGTTATGATGCCGACCCTGTTCTGAGGAAGAAGAATGGGGCTACGCCTTTTATCGTCGCAGCGATTGTGGGGAACGTGAAGCTGCTGGAACTTTTCCTTTCTAAAGGAGCAGATGTCAATGAGTGTGATTTTTATGGCTTCACAGCCTTCATGGAAGCCGCTGTGTATGGTAATGTCAAAGCCCTAAAATTCCTTTATGAGAGAGGAGCAAATGTGAATTTGAGGCGAAAGACAAAGGAGGATCAAGAGCGGCTGAGGAAAGGAGGAGCCACAGCTCTCATGGACGCAGCCAAAGAAGGACACGTAGAGGTCTTGAAGATTCTCCTTGACGAGATGGGGGCAGATGTCAACGCCTGTGACAATATGGGCAGAAATGCCTTGATTCATGCTCTCCTGAGCTCTCACAATAGGGATGTGGAGGCTATTACGCATCTGCTGCTGGACCATGGGGCTGATGTCAATGTGAGGGGAGAAAGAGGGAAGACGCCCTTGATCCTGGCAGTGGAGAACAAGCACTTGGGTTTGGTGAAGAGGCTTCTGAAGCAAGAGCACATAGAGATTAATGACACAGACAGTGACGGCAAAACAGCACTGCTGCTTGCTGTTGAACTCAAACTGAAGGACATCGCCCAGTTGCTGTGCGACTGTGGAGCCAGTACAGATTGTGGGGATCTTGTTATGATAGCCAGGCGGAATTATGACCATTCCCTTGTGAAGCTTCTTCTCTCTCATGGAGCCGAAGAACATTTTCACCCTCCTGCCGAAGACTGGAAGCCTCAGAGCTCACACTGGGGGGCAGCCCTGAAGGATCTCCACAGAATATACCGCCCTATGATTGGCAAACTCAAGTTCTTTATTGACGAAAAATACAAAATTGCTGATACTTCAGAAGGAGGCATCTACCTGGGGTTCTATGAGAAGCAAGAAGTAGCCGTGAAGACGTTCTGCGAGGGCAGCCCACGTGCACGGCAGGAAGTCTCTTGTCTGCAAAGCAGCCGAGAGAACAGTCATTTGGTGACATTCTATGGGAGTGAGAGCCACAGGGGCCATTTGTTTGTGTGTGTCACTCTCTGTGAGCAGACTCTGGAAGCATGTTTGGAGGTGCACAGAGGGGAAGATGTGGAAAATGAGGAAGATGAGTTTGCCCGAAATGTCCTGTCATCTATATTTAAGGCTGTTCAAGAATTACACTTGTCCTGTGCATACACCCACCAGGATCTGCAACCACAAAACATCTTAATAGGTGAGTCCCCAATTCCCAATTCTCTCTTAGAAATTGTGGGATCTTTGTTTATGAAAGGAAAAGTTTTTCATTGCAGGGAGGAAAGGCCTAGAGTAAATGTGGATGATTCAATTTGAGGATCATTACAATAAATTCATAATTACAGTGCAGTGTCTCCTGCTACCAGTTATAACTGGGTTCTGTTAGTCTACGTGGAGATTGTTTGATGCCAACAGAATACCAGGCTAGCCTTATATTGCCATTGGCAAAATAAACAGATGATGGCCTGTCATGGATCAAAGTAGCTCTAGAAATTTGAGAATCCTAGAGGTGAGTTCCTTCAGACAAGGTGGCAGTAACCATGAAATTTACTGGCAAAATTGAGGTCAAAGTTGAGGATGTCAGGACAAGATGTGATGTAGTGAAGACACAGACTCCAAGGCAGAACAAGTCAGAATCCACTGGTCCAAGCCAAACAAAGGAAAGAAAAATGGCATTTTCTTTTAAATGTTAAAAGAAAAGCAGAGCTGACCGGAAAGTCCCAGGAAGCAATATGGTACAGGGTAGCAAACCAGGGCTTCAGCGATGATTAGGGTGACTTGAAGCCTAGTCTCACCAGTTTGTAGCTTTATAACCTCAAACAAGTCCCTTGATACTGTGAGCCTCAGTTTCTTCACTTGAGACTGATAATGCCTCCTTCATCAGTTTGTTATGAGGTCTAAGCGCGATGATGAAGTAGTAAGTCATTTGGTACGTCATAGGTGCTCAGGAAAGGCTGTTCTTGCCTAAAGGTCTAAGCAGAGTACATACCGGATCCATAGACATGCACTGAGATTTAAGCTCAGTGTAAGGGAACAGCTCCTTTACAAATCTGTGCTTTTGGCCCCTGGAACTGCATGAACGAGGAGCTGGTTAAATTTATCCTCATCCCATTCATGTCCTTTGTAGGGACATGGATGCAGCTGGAAACCATCATTCTCAGCAAACTATCACAGGAACAGAAAACCAAATACCGCATGTTCTCATTCATAGGTGGGAATTGAACAGTGAGAACACTTGGACACAGGAAGGGGAATATCACACACTGGGGCCTGTCGTGGGGTGGGGGAGGGGGGAGGGACAGCATTAGGAGATATACCTAATGTGAATGATGAGTTAATGGGTGCAGCACACCAACATGGCACATGTATACATATGTAACAAACCTGAATGTTGTGCACCTGTACCCTAGAACATAAAGTATAATAAAAAAATTTTGTCCTCATCCATTCCTACCCCCTGACCTGGAAAAAATAAAATGTAAGTGCTGCTCTTGGCAGGTACCTAATAGATCAAATGAAACAGTGCACATGGCAGTGTTTTGAGGGGTGAATGGCAATACAGATATAAGGTTTATTATTGCCTTCCACGGAGATGATTATTTTTACAGCATGTTACATATTTATGTAAATCAGTTGACTCTCACTTTATGGAGAATGAGTACTTTCAATGTGCCTCTGCACACTTTTCCTTAGATTCTAAGAATGCTGTTCACCTGGCAGATTTTGATAAGAGCATCAAGTGGACTGGAGATCCACAGGAAGTCAAGAGAGATCTAGAGGTAAATTCTACAATCCAGTTTACCTTTCTTCTTTCTGCCTCCTTATTCTTTCATGTAGTAGTCAGGGTTCTCTAGAGGGACAGAACTAGTAGGACATATGTATATATGAAAGAGAGTTTATTAAGGAGAATTGACTCACATGGTCACAACATAAAGTCCCACAATAGGCCATCTGCAAGTTGAAGAACAAGGAAGGAAGCCAGTGGTGGATCAGTCTGAGTACCAAAACCTCAAAAGTAGGGAAGCTGACAGTGCAGCCTTCAGTCTGTGGCCAAAGGCCTGAGAGCCCCTGGCAAACCACTGGTGTAAGTCCAAAAGTCCATAAGCTGAAGAACTTGGATACTGATGTTTGAGGGCAGGAAGCATCCAGCATAGGAGAAAGAGGAAGGCCAGAAGTCTTAGCAAGTCATCTGCTCTTTCATTTTCTGCCTACTTTATTTTAGCCATGCTGGCAGCTGATTAGATGGTGCCCACCCAGACTGAAGGTGGGTCTGCCTCTCCCAGTCCACTGACTCAAACGTTACTCTCTTTTGGCAACACCCTCACAGACACACCCAGGGATAATACTTTGCATCCTTCAACTCAGTCAAGTTGACACTCAATATTAACCATCACCGTTCACTACCTTATTTCTTATGGGCAATTGGAGGGCTTTCTATTTTAACCAGGAAAAAAAGAATGTTCAAGGCTTTCCCCATCTTGCTCACTGTCCTGACTCCCCTGCAGGCCACGGCATTTCCTTGGGCTTCTCCTTCAGCAGAGCTTTCAGGATGACAAGGGGAACGTGCAACAGCTTGGGTCGGTGCAGAGTTGGCTGTCGCTGTGTCCCCTTACTGTATCTCTTTGAATCTCTCTTCCTCCATTAGCTTAATAAGTAAATAAACTGAGCATGCCACATCTTCTCTCCAGGAGAGAATTTCAAATATCTCCAATATTCATTGAGGAGTTATTTTTCTGCCTACGAACAAAGTAAGTGAGGTTTCTTTCACCACAAATTCAATCTCATGGGCTACGCTCTGAAGAAGGCCGGATACTAAGGTTCTCTGAAAACTCCTGGGAGGAGTGAGGTCAATTCCCAGCTTGAAAGAACCTAAGCTTGGCCAAAAAGATGATGACTCTGAAATAGCTGTTGCTCCTGAGAGGGCACGGAGATTGGCTGCTATAGGCCAAAGCCCCCAGGCTGATTCTGACCCTTTCAGGGTAGGTCTTTCCTGGAGAGTTTTGCAGGGTGCTGCACTTTCAACCCAATGGACAAGACTCTCCATCCATATGTCTGGCCTCCTGGTTTGGTGGCACCAGATTTCGGCTCCTTCCTTGACTGGTGGCTAATGCAAAGAATTCCTTCGGCGACCTTCTTCTTGGTCTTCCCTCCTGGCCATGGCCTAATGCCCGGGGTCATCACTGTACCTCTCCTGGCCTGGACTGACTTTTTTATTTGCTGCGTGATATAGCCTCAGACCCAAAGTCCCAGTTCCCAGCCAGGCTCCCAGTTCTCCCTTTGTTTAAAGCATTCTCCCTTTCCTCAATTTATCTATGTTTTATCCATACATTTGAGGCCCAGCTCAAATCTCTCTTCCTCTGAGCAGTCTGCCCTAACAACTGTGACTCATATGTATCTTTTGCTCTTCATAAAACTAAGTGGTGTGGGCCATATACTGCCTTGAAGAGGTCTCTATGCACAAATCTGTGTCTTCCCTCCCTAACAAGCCTACAAACTACTTGAGATTCCTCCTATCATCTTGTTTGCTAATAGCCTGCACCACTCCTTCCAGGGTTACCCTAATAATTAGTAAGCACCTTTGGCTTGATTTACGGCTTTTGTGCAGGATCTTGGACGGCTGGTCCTCTATGTGGTAAAGAAGGGAAGCATCTCATTTGAGGAGCTGAAGGCTCAAAGTAATGAAGAGGTAGTTCAACTTTCTCCAGATGAGGAAACTAAGGACCTCATTCATCATCTCTTCCACCCTGGGGAACATGTGAGGGACTGTCTGGGTGACTTGTTAGGTCATCCCTTCTTTTGGACTTGGGAGAGGTAAGTAAAACTTTGAGCAGATGCTACAGGCCTCCAGTATGGAGAGGGTGAGGTGGTGCAGACAGAAGTCTGGGCTGCACATCAGGAGACCCAGGCTTTTTTCTCAGCTTGGGATTTACTGGCTGTATGTACTTGGAGAGATGACTTAACCTCTCTGGAGTCTGCTTTTCATTTCTGAAGAATAAGGAGGGAAAAAAAGAGACGCTTGCCTCTCCCATGATGCAGAATTTTTGAAGACATGGTTGTATTACTTTTATTAAAAATCAAAATCTGGCCAGGCGCGGTGGCTCATGCCTGTAATCCCAGCACTTTGGGAGGCCGAGGTGGGCAGATCACAAGGTCAGGAGTTCCAGACCAGCCTGGTCAGCATGGTGAAACCCCATCTCTACTAAAAATACAAAAATTAGCCGAGCGTGGTGGCAGGCGCCTGTAATGCCAGCTACTTGGGAGGCTGAGGCAGGAGAATCGCTTGAACCCGGGAGGTGGAGGTTGCTGTGAGCCAAGATTGTGCCACTACATTCCAGCCTGGGAGACAGAGCAAGACTCCATCTAAAAAAAAAAAAAAAAAAAAAGAAAGAAAACACAAAAACGCCAAAATCTAACAGTTTCCTTTTTCTAGAAAAGGAAAGGGAGGGATGGAGTGATCATGATCATTTAGATCATTTAGTCATCTTCAGCCGCTATAGGACGCTTCGGAATGTGGGAAATGAATCCGACATCAAAACACGAAAACATAAAAGTGAGATCCTCAAACTACTGCAACCTGGGCCTTCTGAACATTCCGTAAGTTTTGACAAGTGGACGACTAAGGTATGAATAATTCCTACAGTGCAGGGGTTATTCCAGCAATAAGAATTTGTGTAATGTTTTATGTTAGTTTTTCTATCTTATTTTATACCAGTGGCCGACCAGAGCCTGAAAGAGGTGGTTTCCTCTCCTGCCCTCCCCATCCCTATTCCCTTAGGCTCCCCACTGGGGTGTCTACTTCCAGAGAGAGAGGCTGGCCCTCTCTCTCTCCCATTCAGACCCATGCTCCTCTGATAGACTGTTACTCAGGCTCCCCCTGATGGCCTTATTCCAGCCCACGAGCCTTTCCCTCACACTTGGCTGAGAATCCTATTACCATTATGGCAAGAGCAGCTGACTAAATAGAACTTAATCCAAGGGAAGTGCTTCACCATGAGGCGTTTCAGTCCGGGTACAGCCTGGCTGCCTCTACTGCCTATGAACAGCCCAGCTCTCAGGATCCACACACAGACTTACATTCTGCCTGAGGAAATAGACTATGAAGAAAAGATGATCTTTCAAATTGCTCTCTTTAAGAAAAGTTCCATATAACTTGCATTAAGTATAGTGGAACTCTACAAAATTATTCACCATCTCAATCTAGTCAGTACTGTCAGAACTTTCATTATTAATTAAAAAACATCTATACAATACCAATTATGTGCTGGACCCATGCAAGGCCCTGAGCATACAAAGCAGAATACAGTGTGTCCCTGTGGGGCTGAGAAGCCCATGGAAATGATGCTGTGGGATGTGTGCTGGGCATCCCAGGGACATGTGCAAAGCACTATGGGAGAACCCATAATCTTCAGGTCTTGGAAACCAACAGCTTCCTATCCTAGGCCTGACCTGGGATACTGCTTCTCCTGATTCTTGTTTTGCTTTCCTTCGCTCACTGGTCTCTAGACTGCACATCACACTCATAATTACTGGCTTATGGTCCATTTTCCTTGCTAGCCTATAAGGTCCATGAAGGCAGAGACTACCCATTGTCTTGTGAGTTATTGTATCCCTGGCATGGAGTAGATGTGCCATAACTCTACTAAACGAATGTCTATCAAACTTTGGCTAAAACTTTAACTTGTAGAAACAAAGGAATTTGAAAACAGCTGTGATAATGATAGCTAATGATTACACAGTGCTTGATTATGTAGCAGCCATAGTTCTTGGGACTTTACATGAGTTACCACATTTAATCCTTATCACAACTGCTGAGACAATCATCTATATTTTGCAGATGAGCAAGTTGAGGCACAGACAAATAATTTTTCCAACTACACAGAACCAGTAAGGGGTGCACCAGGATTTGAAGCTGGGAAGGATGGCTGCAGAGGCCATGTGCTTAAGCCACACTACTACACAAAGCTATGATGGTGTCAAGTCTACCAACTCATTTATTCACTGAGGAAACTGAGGCTCAGAGACCACACTCAAATTACTCGTGCCTGGACAGTCAGAGATTGGCAGAGCTGGAAAGAGGAACTTGTTCTTTTGTTCCCAATGTATTGGTTCTTTTCCCGAAATTCCATGAGCTTATATTGAATTTTGATAGACTTCAAGTTTTAACTTCAAGTTTGACCTTTTAATCCCCATTTTACACTTTGTTTTCCTGCTGACTTGCCCCTTTTCATGGTCACACAATTAATTTTGTTAGCATAGGTCTGGAGCCCAAGTTTCCCAGCTTGTATGACTGTATTGGTTCTTGACTTGCCCCATCCTGCCACACATACATGCTTGACATTTCTCATGGGTGTTCTGCACAGAGTGCACCTGGCCAGTCTCAGCAGCATCCTCACTAGCATTGCTCTTTCATCAGTTACTCTTCCTAAGTGACCCACTGGATTCTTGACTGTTGCATTTTGATCTTGTAGCCCAAACTCTTTCTAAATATGAGAGCCATCTATGGCTCTGTATCTATGAGGGTGACAAGCACAGAGAAAGAGGATGACATTACTATGATATGAAAGGAATTGCCCTGGGATACCTGCAGGCAAGAAGAAACAAGTAACCTTGTTTAAAATATAAATTTTAGAGGGCACTAGTACAGTTTTGTTACATGGATATATTGTGTAGTGGTACAATTGGGCTTTTAGTTTAACCATTTCCTGAATAATGTACATTGTACCTATTAAGTAATTTCTCATCCCTCTCCCTCCTCCAACCCTCCCACTTTTCCAAGTCTCCAATTCTATTATTCCACTCTGTACATCCATGTGTACACATTATTGAGCTCCCACATATAAGTGAGAACATGTGATACTTGACTTTCTGTTTGTGAGTCATTTCACTTAAGATAATGGCCTCTAGTTCCATCCATGTGGCTACGAAAGACATGATTTCATTCTTCTTTTTTATGACTGAAATATATATACATGTATATATATATGTATGTAAACATTTTCTTTATCTAATCATCTGTTGATGGACACTGAGGTGGATTCCATATCTTTGCTATTATGAATAGTGCTGTAATAAACATATGAGTGCAGGTATCTTTTTGATATAAGGTTTCTTGGGCTGAGTACAATGGCTCACGCCTGTAATCCCAGCACTTTGGGAGGCCGAGGTGGGTGGATCACTTGAGGTCAGGAGTTTGAGACCAGCCTGGCCAAAATGCTGAAACTCTGTCTCTACTAAAAATGCAAAACTTAGCCAAGCATTGTGGCACACGTCTGTAATCCCAGCTACTTGGGAGGCTGAGGCATGAGAATTGCTTCAGCCTATGAAGCAGAGGTTGCAGTGAGCTGAGATGGTGCCACTGCACACCAGAGCATTTTTTCATATGCTTTTTGGCCATTTGTATGTCTTCTTTTGAGAAACGTCTATTCATGTCATTTGCCCACCTTTTAATGAGGTTATTATCTTTTATTGTTAAGTTGTTTGAATTCCTTGTAAATTCTGGATATCAGTCCTCTGTTGGATGCGTAGTTTGCAAATATTTTTTTCCCATGCTGCAGGTTGTTTGTTCGCTCTGTTTATTTCTTTTGCTGTGCAGAAGTTTTTAGTTTAATTAAACCCCATCTCTCTTTATTTTCGTCGTTTGTGCTGTTGAGGTCTTAGTCATGAATTCTTTGCCTAGACCAATGTCCAGAAGAGTTTTTCCTAGGTTTTCTTTTAGTATTTTTATAGTTTCAGATCTTACATTTAAGTCTTTAATCCATCTTGAGTTGATTTTTGTATACAGTGTGAGAGAGAGGTCTAGTTTTAATCTTCTACATACGGCAATCTAATTGTCCCAGCACCACTTACTGAATAGTGTATCCTTTTCCCAGTGTGTGTTTTTGCTGACTTTGTCAAAGATCAGTTGGTTGTGGATACGTGGCTTTATTTGTGGGTTCTCTGTTCTGTTCCATTGATCTATGTGTCTATTTTTATACCAGTACTGTGCTGTTTTGGTTATCTTAGCCTTGCGGAATAATTGGAAGTGTATCATAATGTGATGCCTCCAACTTTGTTCTTTTTCCTTAAGATGCCTGTGGTTATTGGGGCTCTTTTTTGGTTTCCTGTGAATTTTAGGATTGTTTTTTCTAATTCTGTGAAAAATGATGTTGGTATTTTGATAGCGATTGCGTTGAATGTGTAGATTGCTTTGGGCAGGGTGATCACTTTAACAATATTAATTATTCCTTTTGGAAATATACCTAGAAAAACAAAAACAAACAAACAAACAAAACCGTTCACTTTGGCCATGGTTGCAGGCCCGGTTTCAGTCTGAACAGCCCTTTTAAAGAAAGAAATGTAATCAAGTACGAATTTGAAAGGGTGGCCACAGGATAAAAATATTGTATAGTATAATACGCAAATTTCCTAGTATAGTAGTCAAAGATTTTTTAACCGTATTTTAATATATTTAATTTCTTATGAAAACAATTTACTTGGAAAATACAGACACACATTTGAACATACTTATAATCTCACATGCAGACACAATTATATATATAGTTTTAATTTTTAAAAATTTTTAATTTTTTTGCTGAGCGCAGTGTCTCATGCCTGTAATGACCAGCATTTTGGGAGGCTAAGGTGGGCGAATCACGAGGTCAGGAGTTTGAGACCAGCCTGGCCAACATGGTGAAACCCTGTCTCTACTAAAAATACAAAAAAAAAATTAGCTGGGCACAGTGGCAGGTGCCTGTAATCCCAGCTACTCAGGAGGCTGAGGCAGGAGGATTGCTTGAACCTGAGAGGCGGAGGTTGCAGTGAGCTGAGATCACGCCACTGCACTCCAGCCCTGGCGACAGAGTGAGACTCCATCTCAAAAAAAAAAAAAAAAAAAAAAAAAAAAAGTATTATTTTGAGATGGAGTCTCGCTCTGTTGCCGAGTCTGGAGTGCAGTGGCGCGATCTCAGCTCACTGCAAACTCCACCTCCCAGGTTTAAGAGACTCTCTTACCTTTGTCTCCCAAGTAGCTGGGATTACAGGCGGTGCCACCACGCCCGGCTAATTTTTGTGTTTTTAGTAGAAACAATGTTTCACTGTGTTGGCCAGGCTGGTCTCAAACTCCTGACCTCGGGTGTTCTGCCCATTAAGACCTCTCAGAGTGCTGGGACTACAGATGTGAGCCACCGCGCCCGGCCCAGACACAATTATAGTTAGCATTTTGGTATACAGCATTTACTTCCCTTTTAAAATTATTTTGCTTTATTAATTAGTTGGTAATTATAGAATATATGAATATATTCAAATTTATATTTTGCCTTTTGGTATGAATATTCCATCATGATTTATTTTGTGTTGCTACCACATTTTTGTGTTATTTTTTGTTTTTTTTAGATTAATGCAGATGTTATGAAAAAAATGAATGAGTTTTATAAAAAAAGTGGCAATTTCTACCAGAACACTGTGGGTGATCTGCTAAAGTTCATCCGGAATTTGGGAGAACACATTGATGAAGAAAAGCATAAAAAGTAAGTATTGCTTTCATTCCTACAAATTATATGTGAAATGAGAACAATTTAAAAAATCCAATTCTAAGTTTATATCTATGATGAAAAAAAGAAAATTTATTTTGATGAAAGAAAAGTAATTCTTTCCCTCTGTGTGTAAAAGGGCTATCACTGTGGCCTTACAATTAATGAGGGACATGTCCAGCAGGCTTTCATCTTCTTTGTTATTTTTTTGTTGGATAAATGGTAAAACAAATTGAACAGGAGCTAGTGACTCCCTTCTGTGAAGTAACACAGGAGACTGGACGGCTAGATAAAGTGAATGTAGAGTTACATACGTCTAAAAATAGCCCACATTAGTTCGATCAACTTTTGCTGACAAAAATATTAGCTACAAACTCACAAAAAAGTCTTACAGTTCAGGGCTCTTCTAGAGTTTGGAATTATAGGTAGAGGATTGTGGCATTGCACTATTTCCATTTTATGAATGAACAATCTAAAGTGCAGAAAGATTGTGGCCAAAGGTTGCACAATTAGTTGAAGAGTCAGGGGAGGAGTCTTGCTCTGTCAGATTCCAAAGTCCTTATTCATTCTGCAATAGAAATCAAGTGAGCAAAGAGATCTTCAGGGCCATATGCTGTGAAGTGGGGAAGAATAATTTGGGGCAAGCATGCTGAACCATTTGTGTTTTATTTCAGGATGAAATTAAAAATTGGAGACCCTTCCCGGTATTTTCAGAAGACATTTCCAGATCTGGTGATCTATGTCTATACAAAACTACAGAACACAGAATATAGAAAGCATTTCCCCCAAACCCACAGTTCAAACAAGCCTCAGTGTGATGGAGCTGGTGGGACCAGTAGGTTGGCCAGCCCTGGGTGCTGATGGACTGATTTGTTGGAGTTCAGGGAACTACTTATTAGCTGTAGAGTCCTTGGCAAGTCACAACGTTCTGGGCCTTTTAACTCACCAGGTTGCTTATGAGGGATGAGTTGTATAGCTGATATGTCAGTCCCTGGCATTGTGTATTCCATATGTCTATAACAAAAGCAGTATATGCCCAGACTACACTAGTCCATAAGCCTTACCCACTAACTGGGACGACACTCTGCTAAGATTCCTTTTGTCAATTGCACCAAAAAAATGAGTGCCTTGACCTCTAATGCTGCATATGTTACAATTCTCTCATTTAATTTTCCCAATGATCTTGCAACACAGGGATTATCATCCCCATTTAAGAACTGAGGAACCTGAGACTCAGAGAGTGTGAGCTACTGGCCCAGGCTTATTCAATTTATACCTAGCACTTTATAAATGGACATGGTGTTATTGGTACCTCTCATTTGGGCACCTTAAAACTTAACTATCCTTCCAGGGCTCTTCCAGAAGAGTCCCAAAACATATATAGGGGCTCCAGGAAGCTCATTCACTCACTCATTCATTCAGTATTTATTGAGCATGTAGTATAAGTCTGGGCACTGGGTGCATGAATTCCACTCATTCCAGAACCAACTGCATTGGTTTTCCATGACCTTAGGCAGTAGTTCTCAACTAGGGGGCAATTTTGCACTGCAGAGAGCATTTAGCAGTGTCTGAAGAAGTTTTTGGTGTCACAGCTTTGTGGGGCGCATGCTATGGCATTTAGTGAGTCAAGACCAGGGATGCTGCCAAACCTACCTTGCACAGGACAGCCCCTGCAACAAAGAATTATCCAGACCAAATATCAATGGTGCTGAGGTTGAGAAAGCCTGCCTTAAGGGGTTGGGATGCTTTTGAACTATCTTAGGGCCCAGGACTGTGGAGTGTGTGGACCACCCCGCAGAGGAGGGACTCAGATTTGTTTACTCTTGCTGAATGTGTAGCGATGGAGTTCCTTCTGGTGTCAACCCCTCAGGAGGCTCCCAGGCCTCCCTCACTTCCCATACCCAGTCTAGGAGCTCTTTCTGGCTCCCAAGCACCCAGAGCTTTCCTCCACCTTTTAGTTTTGGTTCCTCCACTGGAATGTAGGCTCCTTACAGGTGATGGCTATCTTTTCTTGACTTTGTATCTTCATTGCCAAGCAAAAAGTCTGCCAAGTGGGAATGTTCAATAAATATGCATTGAATAATGAATGAACCATCTTCGTACATGAATAATAATACTGCCTTACATTTTCTGGTGCTTTATAATGTATACATTACATCTGCATATTTTATTTTATTTAATTTTCAAAACAATCCTTTAAGGTCAACATTGTTATCCTTATTTTGCTAATGAGGAAACTAAGGTTAGAAACATTTTGATTTCCTCTAGGACATATAGCTAGGAAGTGTTACTGTCTTGATTTGAACAAATTTTCTGGTGCTAAGTCTGATGTTCTTTCCATGAATCACTGTGGTGGTTTAGATGGAGCTTTGTAATGGGAATAAAACAGTACCTTAGGTTCTTTCTGAAAAGGAGGTATCTAGCAATGGATAAATAGATATCACCAAATGAAATTAAATGTTGGTTAGGAACAGATTTAAGGCTTAAAAAATATTTTATGAGCAGCAAGATTGCTTTAACTTTTAAAATGAAGCTTTGGTTGTCTGATTTGTAATGAGCACCTGGATATGTCAATCAACATGCCCATTTGTGAAGCTTACTCAATAAAACTTTAAATCATCTTATTTAGTTTGATTTTCTTTAAGTGACATTTCCACTTTAGGGAGTGGGTGATATCTACAATAGGAAATATTCACCAAGTAATTCCTGGGTAAGTTTTAAGAAAGGACATCCTGCTGTCTGAAAATGGGAAAAGGAGCTATTTTTGACTCTCTAGTAATTCTGGAACAATGTGGGCCTAGCATGTAGCAAGAGAGAGGAGGAAATGATCATTTTCCCCTCTGCTTGAGTTCCCTGAGAGTTTCTGTTGACACTCTGCAAACATTTCTCATTCAGTTGTCATCACCACAAATGTTTCATTGAGCATGTAGTTCATATCAGGTCCTGTGTTAAGCAGGCTGATTCTGCACTCTTGCTCAGGGGTAAAAGCTCTCTCCCCATATGTTTTACTCAGCAGTTGGTAGCATTTACGTGTCTCTCCAATAGGCCTGAGAGGGCAGAGGTCATATCCCAGTTCCTCACATGGTGCCTGGTATAAGTATGTAGTGTGTTTAAGTTATAAGATACTCCTTGAATTCACAGGTTGAGAAGAACGTTTAACATTTGATTTTTGGTGGGTCTTTACTGGAGCTGCAGCCTGGGAGAGAGATAAGTCTTGGAGCTGAGCCCTGGGTCAGCTCTTCCATTCTGTACTCCATCAGCTTTAGGACACAGTGGTCTTTCAAGATGATTTGGGTAAAGAACAGCACAACCTTCCTCTGGAGGAGACCCTGGGAAATTCAGCTTTCCTTTTTCCTTTCTGTGGAGACTTTCTTTCAGGCTTGCCTAAGTGCCTAGTACAGTGCCTGGCATATACTACACACCCAGTTTTACTTGTTGCTGTTCTTAATTACTGCTATAGACTGAAATGTGTCCCTCCAAAGTTCATACATTGAAGCCCTAACCCCCCCAGTGTGTTCGTATTTGAAGATGGGGTCTTTGGGAGATAATTAGCGTTAGATGAGGTCATGAGGATAGGGCCCTCATGTTGGGATTAACGACCTTATAAGAAGAGAGAAAGAGCTCTCCTTTCTCACTGCCTTAAGAGCACACAGAGAGAAACTGTCCATCTGCGAGCCACAATGAGAGTCTTCACCAGGACCCCGATGTACAAAAGTGACTAAGACAATCACCTGGCACATAATAGGCTTGCAGCAAATGTTTATGCTCTGCCAGTCTTCTCTTATCACATGAACAGAAATATATATATGTATTTTAAAAGTATGTTTTTTCATCACCTCCACAGTGTTTTTCATTGTGTAATATTTTCATTGCTTTATGAACTGTTTGCTTAGACTAAGACCAAAAGATGGGGCCAGGTGTGATGGCTTACATCTGTAATCCCTGCATTTTGGAGGCTGAAGCAGGCAGGTTACTTGAGATCAGGAGTTCAAGACCAGCCTGGGCAACAAGGTGAAACCCTGTCTCTACTACAAATGCGAAAAAAAAAAAAAAAATTAGCCAGACCTGGTGGCATGTGCCTGTGGTCCCAGCTACTTGGGAGGCTGAGATGGGAGGATAGCTTGAGCCTGGGAGGCAGAGGTTGCAGTGCACAGAGATCAGGCCACTGCACTCCAGCCTAGGCAACAGAGCCAGACTCTGTCTCAAAAACAAACAAACAAACAAAAGACGCTGTTGAGACCAGCTCAGTCAGGGAAACCCTAAACCAGCGTTGCTAGAGGAATTAAAGACACACACACAGAAATAAAGAGGTGTGGAGTGGGAAATCAGGGGTCTCACAGCCTGCAGAGCTGAGAGCCCCAAACAGAGATTTACCCATGTATTTATTAACAGCAAGTCAGTGATAAGCATTGTTTCTATAGATTGTAGATTAACTAAAAGTATTACTTATGGGAAATAAAGGGATGGGCCAAAATAAAGGGATGGGTTGGGCTAGTTATCTGCAGCAGGAGCATGTCCTTAAGGCACAGATCGCTCATGCTATTGTTTGTGATTTAAGAATGCGTTTAAGCGGTTTTCCACCCTGGGTGGGCCAGGGGTTCCTTGCCCTCATTCCGGTAAACCCACAACCTTCCAGCGTGTGTGTCATGGCCATCACAAACATGTCACAGTGCTGCAGAGATTTTGTTTATGGCCAGTTTGGGGGCCAGTTTATGGCCAGATTTTGGGGGGCCTGTTCCCAACAAGACCCAAAGATGGTACTAACAACAGGAGAGAAGTGGGTGGGGAAAAAGCAAAGGAATTGGATTTTTGGAGGCTCTAGAACACCATCAACAGGATTCTATGTCGATAATATTTATATTTAATATTATTTATTAATAATATTATTCAAAAATAATAACATTACTATATTAGCCATTAATATTGGCCTATAAAAATTTAACACAGGAATTGTCAGGCCTCTGAGCCCAAGCTAAGCCATCATATCTCCTGTGACCTGCACGTATACATCCAGATGGCCTGAAGCAACTGAAGATCCACAAAAGTGAAAATAGCCTTAGCTGATGATATTCCACCATTGTGATTTGTTTCTCCTCCACCCTTAAGAAGGTTCTTTGTAATCTCCCCCACCCTTAAGAAGGTTCTTTGTAATTCTCCCCACCCTTGAGAATGTACTTTGTGAGATCCACCCCCTGCCTGCAAAACATTGCTGCTAACTCCACCACCTATCCCAAAACCTATAAGAACTAATGATAATCCCACCACCCTTGCTGACTCTCTTTTCGGACTCAGCCTGCCTGCACCCAGGTGAAATAAACAGCCTTGTTGCTCACACAAAGCCTGTTTGGTGGTCTCTTCACATGGACGCGTGAGACAGGAATCTTGAAATGATTTGATGTCCACAGCAGAAGTGAACCCAAAGCAATGAGAAACATAAACACAGAGAATTTCATTCTTTCTGCTCACTGAAAATTCTCTCTTCTTGAGAATCAAATCTTTTAAAAAATACATTTTGTGAAACTGAAATAATCAGCGAGGATTTTGTTTAGCTCTTTTAACGGGGACCAAATGACTGTGACTCAAAGTAGATTATGTATCTTTCATGTTAAAGCCTCAGCTGTTCAGCAGACCAGGATGTAGGAAGTTATGCTCCATTAGTCAGTGAACAAATAAGACCAAAATCCCTGTTCTCATGATTTGGGAGCAGGGTGGGGTGGGGAAGAAAACCAACATCCATAAAGACGGAGAATACTAGAGGGTAATAGTAAGCAGGAGGAAAGTTAAGCAAGGTAAGAGTTGGTAGTTAGGAAGAGTAGATGAAATTTAAAGACGGGGGTCAGGTGGGCCACATCAAGAGGGAGCCTACCAAGTGAAACTATGAGGAAGCAAAAGAGCAAGTGGTGGAGGTATTTGAGGGAAAGCAAACAGAGGGGATGGATAGTCAGTTCAGAGGCCCTGGGGCCTGTTCTTTTTTTTTTTTTTTTTGAGACGGAGTCTGGCTCTGTCGCCCAAGCTGGAGTGCAGTGGCCGGATCTCAGCTCACTGCAAGCTCCGCCTCCCGGGTTCACGCCATTCTCCTGCCTCAGCCTCCTGAGAGCTGGGACTACAGGTGCCCGCCACCTCACCCGGCTAGTTTTTTGTATTTTTTTTTTTTTTTTTAGTAGAGACGGGGTTTCACTGTGTTAGCCAGGTTGGTCTCGACCTCCTGACCTCGTGATCCGCCCGTCTCGGCCTCCCAAAGTGCTGGGATTACAGGCTTGAGCCACCGCGCCCGGCCGGCCTGTTCTTACGTGAGTTGTTTGAGGAGCACAAAAGCGTGGTTGCCATACAGAGTAGGCAAAGACCAGCAAGAAGGGAAGAGAGAGGGGTCAGGGAACCAGAAAGGGAGGGCCCCAAAGCACATGGAAGGGTTTGGGTTTTTACTGAGATGGGAAGCCCTCGGTGGACTGTGGGCAGAGGAGTGGCATGGTGTAACTTAACACTTAAAGAATCACTCTGGGTCCTCTGTGAACAGAAAGCAGAGGGCAAGAGTAAAAACAGGGAGATCAGTTAGGAGACTATTAAATAGTTCGTGCAAAGACTTTAGTAGCCAACACTGAGTGACGGCAGTGAGGTTGACTTCAAGTGGGCAGGCAGACTGGGGATGTATTTTGAAGGTAGAGCCAACAGGATTTGCTGACAGAGTGAGATATGGTGTGAGAGAGACGAGTCCAGGACAGTTGTCAGCCTTTTGGCCTGAGTGACTGGAAGAGTAGGGCTGCTATTAAAGGAGGTGGAAAGGCTTCCAGAGGAGCAGGATTAGAGGGAAGACCAAGAGTTTCATTTGGGACATGCCAAAAGTGATATTCCTAATAGACATTTAAGTGTCATATAGGGTTAGATGTGTGGATCAGGAGTTCAGGGAGATTGGCTGGGGAGAAATTTGTGAGTCATCTAATGATAGCATTAAAGGCCTTGCAATGAGAAATGATTATTGAGAGAATCAGTGTGGGAAGAAAATAGGGAGAAAGAGGAAGAGAGGTCAAATAGTTACTTCCATCACTTCTGCCTACATTCCTTTGGGCGGAACTCAGCTACATGTCTTTACCCAGCTGCAAGGGAGGCTGGGGAATGAAGTTTCTACTTGGGTAACCAGGGGCGCCGCTAAAATGTAGCAGGTTCTATTACTAAAAATAAGAAGAGGAGAAGGGAAATAAGAAGAGGAGAAGGGAAATAAGAAGAGGAACAGTTAGCAATGGCTTCCAACTTGGTGTTTTTATGATGCATCCAATGAAAAAAGGGAACAGAAGGCAGAGACAAAAGTGACAAGAATAGGAAGAACAAGAAGATGGGACTGGGCAGAGAAAGTTGAGGAAAAGGAGGGAGGCGGGAAATATGAAGGCAGGAATGCAGAGGAGTCTGAGTATATGAGGAAAAGAGAAGAGGTGAAGTAGGATAGAAAGAGGAGAAAAAAGGTTAGGGAGAGGTAGAGGAGGGAGGAAAAAGGGGATGGAGAAGTGTGACGAAAAAATAAGACGAGATTAAAGTGGAAGCAAAGACAAGGGGTAGCAAATACATCTAAAAAGGGGGCAACATAGTGAAACCCCACCTAAAAAAAATAGCTGTGGTGGTGTGAGCCTGAGGC